TTATCACCTAGCAGCATCACAACATACACACTGTCTCCTAGGATGCTTAGGGTAGTCATTAGAAAAGGTCAGACTTCCCAAATGCTCTCCGGACACCTGGCAATAAGTAGTTTAGGCAATTCAGGTACAAAGGTGAAGCCTTCACATATCCAAATGTAGATCCTGTGTTGCTGCATGGCTAGGGCAGAGATAGTATGTTTTTCTTTCCTGAGATCAAGATGGAAAGCAACTTAAGAGATGTGTACCTGCTACTCAGAGAAGCAAATGTTAGTTTTACTACCTATGGATATATAAGGACTGTTCTACCTGGGGACAACCACAACAGTTTTAACCACAGCACTAAAAAAATGTTTAAAAAAATCTTCCTGTGAAGAGGAAGAAACAGGACAAACACTTCCATTCCTATACTAAAGGTGATTTTTGAAAAAAAAATTTTTTTATTACCTTAAATATCATCCTTTTAATCCATGGTTTTTCGGACAAGAAATCCACCAAAGAAAATCCAGGATTGGGCCGGACAGCTGACATAGCTACCCAATATCCTCCAGAGCTGCTTAACCTGATATTATCTGGAAGACCAGGCATATTCTCAACAAACATATCTGCTCCACCCTTCATCAGCCCAGACACATAATACCTGTAAGTTATAGATAGTAGGATTAGAACATCTTAACTCAAGCAGTCTAAGTAATAAATAAAAGTCCCAAAAGGAATTTACTTAAAAAAAAAAAAACAAACTTTTTTTTCCCCTTATTTTGGTACAGGGAAATATAGCGCAGCCACATTCCTCTCCCCAGAAAAATTCAGCTTGCTCCACTGTGCTCAAGGAGCCCATGATGGAAAGATTATGGAGTTCAGATGTTTACAGTGAAAAAAAAATTAAGTATTGAGGAAGGCCACCTTCTTTGCCATTGATAACTAAACATGAATAGAGTCATAGAATCATTTAGGTTGGAAAAGATCATCCAGTCCAACCATTAACCTAACACTACCAAGTCCACCACTGAAGAAATTTTTCCTAATATCCAATCTAAACCTCCCCTGGCGCAGCTTGAGCCCATTTCCTCTCGTCCTATCGCTAACTACATGGGAGAAGAGACCAACACCCACCTCACTACAACCTCCTTTCAGGTAGTTGTAGAGAGCGATAAGGTCTCCCCTCAGCCTCCTCTTCTCCAGACTAAACAACCCCAGTTCCCTCAGCCGCTCCTCATAATGCCTGTGCTCCAGACCCTCCACCAGCTTTGTTGCCCTTCTCTGGACACGCTCCAGCACCTCAATGTCCTTCTTGTAGTGAGGGGCCCAAAACTGGACACAGTATTCCAGGTGCGGCCTCACCAGTGCCAAGAACAGGGGGACAATCACCTCCCTGCTCCTGCTGGCCACACTATTCCTGATACAAGCCAGGATGCTGTTGGCCTTCTTGGCCACCTGGGCACACTGCTGGCTCATGTTCAGCTGGCTGTCAACCAACACCCCCAGCTCCTTTTCCGCCGGGCAGCTTTCCAGCCACTCTTCCCCAAGCCAAGTTGCATGGGGTTGTTGTGCCCAAAGTGCAGGACCCGGCACTTGGCCTTGTTGAACCTCATACAATTGACTTCGGCCCATTGATCCAGCCTGTCCAGTGTAGGGTTTCTGTTGTCATTCAACTAATTCATTTAAACAATCTCTAAACAGAGAGTAGTAATAACTTCAGCAAAGTCATACTCACCTCCTGATTCTAGCCATAGTTGTCTCCTGCACCAGGACAAAGTCTTCCGCAGGAGAGAGCTGGACACCATTGGGAAACCTCAGGCCTGCCATTAAGACTTTCACTTCTTTTGTTACTGTGTCATATTCAAGCAGGCTAAAAAGAAAGCATTATATATGGTTTTGAGTGAAGACAAATATTTATTCATCTTGGTTTCATTCTCCAGGCATTCTTATCTTCTCTCACATGCACTTCACCCAAGTTAAAAAGGCAGAATAACCAGGAAGCATGAGTTTATGAACACAGGAGAAATACTAAGCCACTTGAGATTGACAGCATTCATGAAGGATTTAGGCTGAATGTAATGCTAACACCTTCCCTTTTAAAATAGATTATCCATGCAAGTCCTCTCGAAGGAAAAAGAGGAATGTCATTTATTTCGCTGCAGGTCTCATTAGCAACATCCACATATTGTCTCACCCTCTCCTGGGCAGTGCAGTGTTTGCACAGGTGGTTTATAAAAAGAAAAAACTTGAAGACCAAGGAAGTGGTGAAGTCCATTCCTACAATAAGTTAAATGCCTTGGGGAAGAGATACTTGCCGCCCATCATCTGTGCCTTCCGTAACTAAGAGTAAGTAGTCTCGTCTTTGCCACTTGCTACTGGAGTCAGTGAAGTAGATTTTCCTCCCATCCCAGGTCACTGTAAGATCATTCACAAATGACAACTTCTGACCTTCAATTAGCGTTTTGGTTGACACAAGCATTTTCGTTTCACCTGGTTACAAAAAGAAGGGTGGGGGGAGGCGGGGGGGGAAGACACACAAGACAAGATTTTTTATGTCCTGCCTTGGAAATGAGTTAAATACTAACATGAAATTAGCAGCCACTTCACATCTGTTCCATTCATGCCTCTGTTAAGTAAAAAGGTTTTGGGTTGTAATGGAACAACTCAACACCAAACGTGAACGACCAGGAGAAAACACTCTTCAGAAAAACTGAAACAGTAGATGATGTTGCCTATTGGTAAGTGCCAGATTTTCAAGTTTCTGAAGCTCATATGAAACCAAGTGCAAACTCAGGTCCCAACCTTGTAGAAGGATGCAGGCAAGCCAATCACTACTCCCTCTTTCCCCATAAATCTGTAGAAATAAAGAGTAGTACTTTCTAAACATTGAAACATCAGCAGGTTCACTAAACTGTTCTGCTGCAGTCAGCTCTGCCACATACTACCAGGCAAATTAAGGTCAAATCTCTAAAAATTAACCAAAAACCTACTGAAGTCATCTTTGGGCACAGGGTTTGTGTTGGTTGGTTTGCTTGTTTTTGTCATGACTGAGCTAATATGGCAGCTGTCTGCAATCAAAAGGGGAGACCTTGATCATACCCTCCCAGAACCACACAGTCTGAGCCTTTCGGTTACATCTCACCTAGCATTTGTCTAGCCTCCCTCTCCTCACCTGAAGCCAATCTGGAGATGTAAACTGTCAAAAAAACAACCCTACATGAAAGCAACTATCTCTTTCTGACAGCACAGCTCCTAAAACTGAGATCTGGCTCAGGGACATACAACGAAGGGCATGATGCAACAGTGCCTTTCTCACCAGGAACAAGCCACTTGATCTTCAGCCATGCCAAAATACATCTTTCTTCACTTTCTATAGATTGGAGTTACAGGGAAGTTAAGAACTCTTCACTACCACACAGCGAGATCAAGGCAGAAACAAAAGTACAACAAACATGACAAAAAGTTTATGTAACAGCAATATTTTTTTTCCCCTTTGTGAAAACTGCAACAGCTACAGAGCTTTATTCATGGATCCTGAGGTACCGATTTTGACAACCAAAAGCATATGTCACCAGAAAATAAGCCACTGGTAACTCTGATCCAGACAGACAGATGCAGAGAGGAAGTGATTGCTACAAGAAAATAAGTATCAAGTTCTTGTATGGCATATTTCATCCAGACAGCCCCAAACCACTTTACAAAGAAAAAGTGTCTGGCAAAACTGCAAATGAAGCCCAGATTTGTCAGTGGAAGAGAACTTCTGAGCAGAACAGTCATACCTGTACCAGGATTAACTTCATAGAGTCCATAATAAGCATCTGCCACAAAAAGGGTGTTATTTGGCCCCACTCTGATCCCAAGTGGTCTTCCACATCTTGGCTCATCTTCACGGGTTCCTTAGGAAACAATTTTTAAATGGTTTTCCAAACAGAAATAAATACAAGGCATTCAGGCTACCTACATAGGTCAAACTGTAGCTTAACAAAACTCTACGGCCAGCACCACACACATTCATTAAAGAAATTATCCTTACTTTCTTAGGTGTGAGTGAAACAGATATCCCCATGTTTTCACCAGTCTAGAGATAATCATATAATTTGCCAGGCTGGTAGCTAGCTAACAGCTGCCCCAAGTAGGGCTGAATGTCAGAAAACTGGATTTAACAAAATGCTGCTTCTCAGAAAGAACCAGTTTTACTGCAGGTTTCTTCTTCTTTTTCTTTTTTAAATTAAAAAAAAAAATACGCACACATCTTGGAATTTTCTTTTTCTAGAAAGGTCCAACACTGTCATGAAACAGCTGGTTTCTCAAGACACAGACGCTCAGGACTTCTATATGAGAGCAAAGTGGAATACTGCAAATCTGAAAAAATTGTCTACTTGAGTCCTGAAGAACTAAGAACTTCAGAACATCTATAGTTTGAAGGATTAGCATGAGAAACTTCTGGAGAAGGTAGTCAGCTACAGCCTTTCCACTTCCCAAATCAAGGAGGGCACGATGGAAGTCTAGGCTCCCCACTACCTCTTTGGCCCCAAAGGAATTGAGCAGCACAATCTTTCCACCTCTCCCAAGCTGTACAAATCCAATGGAAATGAGCAGTGGAAAGGTGATCCTTCATATCCATCCCAACCCATATTCAGGCCTAAGCAGCAGCTGGAAGTCCAGCTTCCTATCAGTTGGCAGCAGACTTCATTGGCTATCAGCACCAAGGCTGTCCTACCTGTTAGGCAGCCAAGAGAGTGCTTACAAATCAGACCAGAGCCTAATCATGTGAACATCTGCGTAAAATTACATAGCTAAAATGATGAACATGTCAATGCGAACTACATAGACAGCAACAGTTCCTGCCCATAATTTCTGTCTAACTGGCAACCAGCACAGGGCTGCAGAACCTCATGTAAGCTTCTACGATGTTACCGCAAACAAAACCACCCACAGTCCAACAAACACCAGCCCAGGCAGTACTGAAATGGCAACATTAAGCTTCCCCATAGAAATGGTTCTGTTAATAAACAAGCCACTACCAGTTTTTCTCACTCAGTTCCAGAAATCTCATTAAATTAAGCAAGTAAGTAGTTCAGAAGGAGGTGTGGAATTCAACAAGAAATAACTGCAATTTAGCAGTGAGAACACAGAAATATCATGACCAATGGAAAGTCTCTGCTAAAGCAGGTGCAACCACCACAACTCGCCACTGTACTTACAAACAGAGGAAGGGAAATTAGTACAACAAAATGCAAGGCAAAATTCTGTAGATGGGGATAAATTATATTTATTTTCAAAGATCTCTAAATAAGTTGATCTCTCCCACTCACACATTATCTCAGAGTTCATTCACTCACACTTGTTTAGGAGTCCTCAGTTTTTATGGGGTGGCCCTTCACCTCAGAATTTTGCTTACTTCAGCTTCCATAAATATTAGGCCAGGTTGCTGCCCATTTTTTTCTTGTTTAGGATATGTGCTTCTTCTAGATGGACTAACATGTAAAGGAAAGTTATCTGTGATGCACTTGAACATCATCTTCCTCACAGTGTTAAGATGCAGGATCTTCTACCGACAAGTCATCCATGCTGCAGCCTTACAAGAGTGCAGGCCTTGTAGTCATGACATAAAAAATCTGCATGCCTGAATTTTACTGCGGAACAGTGTCCTTTGTTATCAAGGGCACCCATTCCCATTCTTTTGGCCCTTTGGCTGTTCCCTCCAGTGCTTACATACATATTTCCACTCATACTTCATTCATATAAATACATCCATATTTCTGTTACAAATTTCTACAGAGGAAGATATGCACTTGCGTGAGCAATCCAGACAGAACACCAGTTTAATCAACGCAAGCCCTGATGCAGACATTTCCAGGTACACTATGTTCATGAGCTGTCACTCACCACAAAGACCAGGGCCAATTCTGGCTATTGTTTGTATTTCACCATCTTCAATTTTTATAATCTTCCCATCAGCTGTCCCAGTAAATAGCACATCTGCAAAAACAACTGGTATGATTAACTTGATCACAAAACTGTAGTGGCAAACATCCTTCTACATGATCCTTCTACTAGCCAGAAGCAGAATAGGTGTTTAAGATATAGTGAAGTAACAGTCTTCTTCAGTCATAGCCAAAGAATAAAGAGGGAAGGGGAAAGATGAAGGCAAGTAAGAGTATTTGGTTAGATTTCTCCCAGCTCAAAAAGAAGAGGAAGGATTTAAGCTTTAGCAGTTACGAATATGGGATATGAAGCTTTTCACCCATAAGTGGACCAAATCCTTGGTTAAAGGTGGAGGTAACAACTTAATGGCTAGTCATTGTATCGATCCCTCTGGGCAAATTTCTACATCATCATAAAATGTGATCAGGCACTGCATCCATCTTACCATTCTTCAATGAGAGACTGACTAGATAAAACTTCTCATTCTGATACAGTCTACATAGGCTGCTGGACACCTGCCAATGCTCATATTGTATCAGTTCTGGAGAAGAATTACAAAAACCATAGCAATTGGACAACCACCCAAATCAAAAGCATTGCCAAATTACTGTATTCATGCCGAGCCATGTGATAGCGTAAGACAAATTCACTGAATACAAACAACACACAGACTTTTCCATACAACCAAATTAAATGAAAGACCATTGGGTTAGTAGAGCCCATTGCTTGGACTTTTCCATCTCAAATTTAACTGAAGTTTTCAGTTCACTAATTACACTTTTCAAAGGGAATAAGAAGAATTCAACATTTATTCATACAAAACTTATTCCCAGTCTGATCATTTCACCCATAGGTCAGTTGTCCCTTGCAGGAAGGTTTCCTTGAAGAGTTTCCAATGAGATTGCCAGAACTAGGTAACAGAAAAGAATCAATGGCCTCAGGTATTCACTTTAGCACATTCAGAGATAGGTAGAAAAAGCGTAATCTGAGGAAGGAATTTACAATAGTTTCTTGGTGGGTAAAATAATTTTTAAAAATATTTCACTAATTTATTAAAAGATATAGCAGAAGGAAAATAAATTATATGGCTACTGAGCACCTCTTGTACTGAAGGATGTTTCAGTAAGGGCCTTGCTTGCAACTCCCACACCCTTTCCTTTTCGCATTAGAACAGTCAAGGCCTCATGTCAAGAGTAGTTTCTAGCCTTACCCGACTTCATGAGGCACAAGAAAGAACCCCCGAACAAAGCTGGTTTCCTACTAAGTGGGTGTCATGCCATTACAAGTCTAGCCATCTCATTAAGGAACTGCTCAGAAGTGGCATGGGTTTGTGATTTGGGGAGAATGCATGTGCCATAAGAGAGAAGTGGATAGCACCTGTGATGCCTGCAACAGCACTAAAATGTAAATATGCTATTTATCAATTTGAGATTTTTTCTGTCATATAAGCAAAAATTAACACCACAAAACTCAGCTCCCTCAGAGGCAATGAGCATTAAAGAGTAGGTAGTACCCTGTAAATATCAACTCCCAGTTAAGAGCTAGCCAAATGAAAAACGGGACCACTTCCTCCAAGCCTAAGTAGCCCCTGACTACACTGCTGATGCTTTCAGTCCTGGAAGACAGGGATTTTTAATGTGGCAACAAGATTTATTTTATACTGGGGAAAGAAGATAAAAGCAGTATATAGCAGCCAGGTTTTGCTGCATAACATAATTTTTTAAAAAACCTGCATATTCAAAATAGCTTCCAGAGTTTGTTATCTAAGAGCTATATTGCTGAACAAACCCTTATCAATGGAGCAACATTTAAAGACCCTTCTTTAAAAGCTTATATTGTCAGTGCTTACCCCCAATATGGACAATGGACTCTGGTCCGACCAGCTGATTTTCCCATAACCGCTCAGCTTTGCGTAACTTGGTATTAGGCTCTAGCACACCCGTCAGGAGGGGAGGTTCCTTCAAACTGCAAAACAGAACACAGACCTCGTGATCCTTTGCACAAATCTGCAAACACTCTTGAGCAACATATTGGACCATTGTTTTCCTAGTTTGCCAACTCCTGCAAACCTGACCTATGCTTTACATACAGCATATTTCAAAAAAGAAAACACAGCTGACAAGCTGAAAAATTCACTCTTGTTCATCAAGGATCATAATTTTCTGGTTCTGCCAATCAGAAAAGTTGCAGTTATGTGTTCCTAAGATGCATCTGGAAATCTATACAGCTTCAAGTCCAACAACACGTTCCCAGTTCATCTATCTTACACAAAGGCAAAGGATTTCTCTGCATTGCCACAACACAAAAGAATAACTCCCTTCTTACTCAGTTGAATGAGTTGTTTGTACCAGAATATTTTTCCTAAGTAGATATATGCAAATTCCTACGCAAAAAGGTTTTAAAATTCAAAAGCCTGGCATTTTACAATACACTGAGATCTGACATTGTATAGCATTTTTATCATAGAGAAAAAATAGTTTTAATTACTAATTACCATACAACTAGGGAAAAAAGCGTGCCAGTAGTTTGAGCACTAGGACACACATGCTTTCGTACCATGTTGAAACATACATTCTCGTTCATGACTTGAACGCATTCCCACAAAGACCATCTCAAAGGAATAAATTGCACATAAACTTAAACGGTGTTGAACTGAAATCTCAAAATGACAAAATAAGGTCCAATCTTGCAAGCCCTTATTCACATAAATGGCCAGGTTCAAGGCAACTGGAGTTCCAACCAACTACAGAGATACGGAGAAGGGGAGTAGTAAGATGGCTACACAGCTTCAACTTAAATACCAGGCTCCAAAGCACTGTGCTTCAAAACCAGCCCTAACTGTACTGACAAACTCAAATATGTTTCAGTCTCTTAGGTTCTTAAAAAACACACACACACATAAGCCACCTCAGTCTCCATGAGTCAAGGATTTCAAGTTATTACTAAAAGCTGCATACATGCCCAGGGTGGTAAGCTCATTAGGTGTTCATTCACAAGAGTATGCTAAAGCTCCCTAGGCCAAGTTTTGAAAGACTTTTTCAATCTTTTTTTTTTGTTTTGTTTTCAAATAACTCCTTATATGACCATAAGCAAATGCCTTCCACCTGTAGAATCTTAAAAAGACAAGGCTGGACTCCAAAACTTGCCCAGGTTCACAGGATCCAGGACCTATTTGTCACCAACTACACTGCAAACTCTACTGCTCATATGGTGCAAATCATTACAATTTCTAGAGCTTCAGTGACTGGGGGGAAAAAAGTCAACTGAAATCGCAAACTATAAAAGCCATTACAATTGAGGAAAACAGGTTAACAACACAAAAAAATTCAGAAGGAAAGAAAAATACATACTTTTATCTGTCTGGTTACAGGAGCAAACTTTCCTTTAAGTATCTATTACCACAGTGGCAAAGTCAACTGAATTACTAGCTCCTGTCCACAGAAAATTTACAGCAGAGTTGTCTTCACAATACTAACACAAATCCATTTTCCATCCCTTCTTCCAAGCATTAGAGAATTTCAGATGAGGATGACAGGCTTCAGATAAGGAACTCATCTGCTGGGAACTTTGGACAGTTGTGTTTGCAAGCAGAAAATCCTCCCTGGGATCAGTATTATCCAAGACAGGTCACAGAAAAAGAACTTGAAATAAACCAGAGTTGCAGGAATTTCACATGGAGTTTCACAGATTGCATCTGCTTTTTTTTTTTTCCCCGCCTCTTATTCCTCATTATTTCCAGTGGCTTACAGGAATAACATCACTTTCACTGAAAGGATTGATTCAGACAGCATCTACCTCCTTGAGCTTTTCCAAAACATTTCATAAACATCCCACAGAATCACCCTATCTATTGTACAGACTGGAACCACTTCTGGCAATGAAGCTAAGAAACTAATTAAGAACGTACAGCAATATAAGCCAGTGATTTGGGCAGGAAGAATAGTTCTCCCAGTCTTGCAAAAGGGACTGAAAAGTAAGAAATATAAGCATGCAGAATCCTGTTACCCTGGACCAGAATTAGACCAGGACTATATAATAGGAAAAACATTATAGACATATCCTATTGGCTTTCAGAATTACTGTTCCATTGCAATATATTTCAGGCAACTGGGTTTTGTTAAACCCAACCAGAGTAGAAAGCATTTCATTATGATTTGCAGTGAGGCATCTTACATCTAATAGCCTACTGGCAAGACTTGTAAGTACTACCCTACCACATTAACAGTTTCTTCCAGCTCGAGATATATTTACAGTGGTGTTGTTCTTTTCATTAAGGAATTGTCGAGTTGATCATAAATATTTAGTAGACTGAGCATTTTTGCTTACTTCAAAATGCCAGGAGCACAAAACAGCCCGACTCCACCCTATGCTAGCAGTCAAAGTGTTTCACACACAACTTCTCCCAACACAGGTCACATCTTCTCACGTAGTTGATTCACTGTTACACTACACATTTGATATAGACCTCGATTCAGATGTTTATGAATTCAGACAGGGCAGAAATCACCTAGCTGCAGTGCTTTATGAGATCTGCATTTAAATATAACATCACCATATGGTTCCGCTGGTACAAAGCACCAAATCAACCCAGTCAGGTTACCATTTCAATTTCCATCCTCAGATAAACAGTCTCTCTTTGACAGAACTATAATAGCAGGGGTACAGCTTGGTCCTTAGCGAAAATGCAGTTCTTGTCTCACAGAAGACAAGAGTGCACACAAGTAATCAGAAGCTCTACTGACAGCCTGGACAGCAGAAAATCATTTTCTAGATTAACCATCAAAGAAAGTAACTCAGCTCCTTCAGTGATCAGTAGTGACACACAACTGCACAAGACGGCTCAGAAACAAACTGGGTACGCGAAACAAGCCATAGCAATGGATAATACTGGAATCACTCCCCAATTTCTTAATCCAGTCAGAACCAGTTCACACGGTTGACTCTTGTTTACTGGGGAAAAAAAAAAAAACAACCAAAAAAAAACCCCACAACAGAACACATATGAGAAGTTATGCTTCAGTAACATTTATTTCAAAACAAAGCAACAACTTACCTTATAGGCTGAGGGTCTATAGGACAATCCAGTAGAACAGTCACTCCAAGCAGCAGCACAGTTAGAGACGCAGCCAAAGTCAAGAAGGTAACACGGAACACCTTGCTGCTGTAAGTACTGCCAAAACCAGACAAGAAATGGGATTAACATGCTAAGCTGTTTTAAGATACAATATTCTTTAAAAATTCTTTAACAGCCTGTTTTCTTCACAAAAGGAACCAGAAATATTTTTGCCCAACCACCATCCTGAATGACCTTTAAGGTCCATTTTAAACTCGTTAGGATAAGAGAAAGGGATATTTATCCAGCGTCAGCGTAGTGGCATCCTATGAGGCAGAGTATTCTCAGGTACAGGTTTCATGCATGCTACAAGTTACAGCTGACTGAAAAAAAAAAAAAAAAAAAAACCAAGAAATGGGGGGGAGGTAATGAGGGGGGGGGGGGATGTTGTTTGGTTGGGGTTTTTTTAACTCAATCTTCAGTTTTGGCAATGGTTTCCATCCCAGCACAGATTTTGGATGAAAATTTAACTAAAACAACAAACATTAGAGGAAGTCAAATGAATGCTTGCTTAACTTAGTGAACACTGGTTTGAAACTCAAGCCCCAGCACACAAAAGAAATTAAGTATCTTCTATTTACCCATCAAAACACACAACAAAAAAGTAAAAACTGTTCTTCCACTGGAAAAAAACAGGTTTTGCTCTCAACAAGTTTAGAAGCATCAATCAGGCATTTATGGAGGAAAGCACAGAGCCACGCTCAACAAGTCCTAGCCTCGAACTGGAAAAGCAGCTCCCACAATTTTAGCTACTCTGAACCATTCCCTAGCACAGCCAGCCAGTCTCCTCACAGTATCAATTAAATACAGGCAAACAGTGCCTGATGGTTCTGCATTAATCCTTGGACCACATCCACTGTTTTGTCCTTCATTAGCCAATCATCTAGACAGTAGGAAACATGAACTCTTGCCCAGAGCACAAATATCACAACAGGGGAGCTAACGACATGTACTTACAGTGCTGCTAGCAGCATCAAGGTAACCTTTGGGATTATCAGCTGGAACAGCAAGGACAGAACCAGGCCTGCCTTTGGTCACTGCTTGCACGCACAATGTACAGAAGCTGCAATATTCATAATCCAGCACAGCTCTTTCCTGGTGGCACAACTGCTGCCAGCCCTTCTCTTCTGGCAGCAGATGTAGGCTGTTAGGATGGAGGCCTGCCCCAGTTTCCCCATCTCTGCACAGTACCCAACAGGCCATCGCAAGCCACTGCGCAAATCACCAGGCTGTGCCGCGGTGACTGCTACAAGGATGTTGACAGCCTGACATGACAAGAGCTGCTGCTGCTGCTAGCCCAAAGCCACAGGCAGCTTGGCCCGCTCCAAGAAGTGGTGTTAGCGCTGCTGCTGTTGGTCACCAAGCTTTCCTCAGCTCCCCCAAAACACTCACCACCTGAGCCTACTTCCTTTCCACCAGCATGCCCAAGTATTCCTGCTCTCAGATATATTAAAAAATAAATTTTGTTTCTCGCACTCAAGAGCACAGCACTCTCATCATGAACTTCAGCCGTTTTACAGCACTAAGCCTGCCTCCATCTGAGCTGGACCAGGCTGGGAAACTGCTTCAAACAAGGTATCTCATCTGTACTGATCTCTTCACACTTCCCAAGAACCAGACTGCCCTTGTAATTAATTAGAAGAATTCAGCACTTCCTGCTTTAACAGTAGATGTCTCAAGGAAGCAACAACCTCCCAGTCTGTTTCCCCTTGGATTTGGAATCGAGAGTGGGCGGTAGAGATATGAGGCGATCCCGAAGGTCACACAAAGACAAAGACTTCAACTGTCAGCCTTGTTCTTCCACTGTCCTTCAAAAGATGAAGGCTCAATACTGTAAGATTAAAAGTACTGTCAGCAGACACATGAGCATCTTTTTGACAGCTGAGAACAGCTCACACAAAAGGAAGCAGATAAAGATGAATGACAACTCATCTGCCAAAGCCAACTTAATTAAAGCTCCTGAAAGCATGATTTAAGTAAAGGTCATATTTCTGATCTAATACTAGATGCAAACTTGCAAGGAATTGACAATAAAGGAAAAAGGCAGGAAGAATGAAGTGACAAGCAAACTCACACTTCAAGCCTGCAAACTGCAAAACCTACTTTAGACACTGTGGAATTTAAATAAAACCCCAAAACTTAAAAAAAAAAAATTAAAAAGTCAGCTACTCAAAATCCTTATAAAAGTAAAGAAACAAAACATACCCAATATAGAATACTGACAACTGTAAGTTACTGACTGGTTACGGAAAAGAATCACTGAAGTAACAGTTCACCAACACCGATAAGCAAAACAGAAATCCTTAGCTAATTGTGTCTCTGATAATTAATCCTGCATGGACTCCAGCCACAAATCTCAATAATGCAACTTACCAGGACTCCAGCTATAACAACAGCAATTTAGTTGTCACTAAGAACTAAAAAGAGAAGCCATTGCACCTGCTCTTGAAGACAGTAGGCTGGCAAGATGATACTATGGGTCACCATAGCCAGGAGTCTAGGCTGCCTCATCCGCTTGGCAGAAGAACTGCTGGGGGGGCAGAGGGGAAAGCAACTGTCATCAAGAGTTTCTGTCACAGCTCCCAGCCAAAAAAAGGCCAGCCTCCACAATTTCTTCCTCTGGTTTCATGCAGGACAGCCTCATGAGAACAGGACCTGAGGATACTCTGGATCATTGCTGGAGCCCTAGAAATTCAACTAATTTGAGCGAAGTTACCAAAAGAGGCTGAAGCCAGGAAGAGCAGTCTCTCAAGCTGAGAGATGCTGACGTTCTCCTTCAAAAACGGGCTACACATGCAAGCCACCATACACAGTCTTTCATTCTGATGACCCTGAAGGGCAGAGATAAGAATCTGCAAGGTACTCAAATCGGAAGAGATGGTGAACCAAAGAACTACAAGTCATCAGCTACTTTATTCATTGGAAGGCAAAGCAAACACCACCACTTTCTTACTGCAGCTATTGCCTTTAGTTACAGTGAAGCTAATTTTTTTACAAAATTCCTAAACAGAAAACTGTAAATGGAATCTTCTTTAACTTAGACACAAACAAATGGACTGTTTATAAGGTTATTCTCTCTCAGACACATATAGACTAGTCTTTAAACTGCAGGTTACTCTTTAAACTATTGCCAAATATAAACAGACTAGCCAGTTAGACAGGACTTAATCACACCCACAACAAATCTGTGCAAACCACAATGGGGTAACTATTATTTCTTGACTAGGAAAAGATAAACA